GAGGCTGCCACAGCCACGGGGGTGATGGAGGCCACATGGCCCAGGACCGAGAGCATGAGCCACTTTGTCACAGCCCCGTGCCTCAGTTTCCCCAGCTGTAAAAGGGCTAATGCTACAGCCTCCTTGGCAAAGGGCCTTGAGTGTGATGCCCGGAGGCTGCAGCAGGACCAGGCTCCCAGTCTGGCAGCCACTGCCTGGGACCAGCAGGCGGCTCTGTGCCCAAGGGATGTTGCTGGCTATTTGGGCCGTGGCTTTCCTGCCAAGCCCCCTGAAGGGACGCCGGCCAGAGCCTGGCCTCATCTCCCTCTGGTCGCTCTGCAGCGGGCTGCTGCCCACCGAGATAGCAGGGGCCCTGGGCTGTGCCAGCCCGAGGCAGCCTCATGCAGCTGCTGCACCCACCCCCCTGTGCCGCGGGGTGGCTCTTGGAGAAGCGGGGGCATCATGCTTTTATTGGCATAGTCTGGCCTCGCCAGGGCACACAGGGCACCGCTCCATTACAGTTAGACAACGGCCAGGCTGCTGGGTAGAACCAGGCCTGGCCCCGGCCCCCCTGGGCATTAGACCTGGCTGGGGAGGACTCTGACCCCCACCCCAAACCCCTGAGGCTGCCCCCAGCCAGGGCAGCCTGCACCTCAGTCCTGGAACCTGTTGAGAAGCTCGCAGGTTTTCTTCTCCAGCAGCTCGTAGATCTTCTTCACCCGCTTGTCGCTGGCGGCCCGGACGTAGCTGTTGGGGTCCAGCATGGCCATGCCGTCGTGCACCTCCGGCTGGGGAGGACTCTGACCCCCACCCCAAACCCCTGAGGCTGCCCCCAGCCAGGGCAGCCTGCACCTCAGTCCTGGAACCTGTTGAGAAGCTCGCAGGTTTTCTTCTCCAGCAGCTCGTAGATCTTCTTCACCCGCTTGTCGCTGGCGGCCCGGACGTAGCTGTTGGGGTCCAGCATGGCCATGCCGTCGTGCACCTCCCCCATGATGATGAGGGGCCCCTCCTCCGCCGTCATGTTGGGGCAAGGGCAGCTCCAGTCCATGGCGCTCAGGGTGACCTCCAGGTACTTGATGTTGAAGAACTTGAGGCCCATCTTCTCGTCCTTGAGGATGTCCTCCAGGGCGAAGCGGGCGATGCCCGAGTCCTGCTCCTCCACGATCTCCATGAGCCGGCCCACGATGGCGAAGTCGCTGCGGCACAGGCTCAACACCATCTTGCTCTTGAGCCGGCAGGCCTTGCACGGCAGGGACTTGGGGAAGGGGCAGGCGTCCTCGCAGGCCCCCCGGCTCTCGAAGTTGTTCTCGTTGCCCTCGCAGCCGCCGCGAAGGAGTGGCACTGCTTCAGGAGTGTGTTGTAGGCCCAGCGGGCCTCCCAGCTCTTGCAGGGCCCCTGCACCACGGGCAGGGTGCAGGTGTTGACGGCGCTGCTGACGCAGGCCGCCCGGCAGGCCCCGGGG